ACAGCAACTATAGGAGGGGGACTGCACAAGACTGAATTTAAAGTTGGACGTCTCACACACACACACACACACACACACACACACACACACACACAGTACCTGAGTGTGTACTCACTCAGGTACTCAGTGGGTGGAAATTTGAGTATCGAATGACTACTGCGGAAACTAAGTACCCAAATGAGCCACAGAGGCATTAGGAAGAATCTTTTGAGTGTCAGAGTAGTTAACAAATGAAACGCATTAATCAGTGATGTGGTGGAGAATGACTCCATACACAGTTTCAAATGTAGATATGATAAGAGCCCAGTAGGCTCAGGAACCTGTACACCTGATTGGCAATTGAAAGGCGGGGGCAATGAGACAAAGCTCAACCCCCTACAATCACACATGAGTACTACTAGGTCAACACACATACTGTCTACTCCTCAACACAATTACCATAATTGGTTTAAGCAATTCCTAAATAATTCAACACCCTGGATCGAGATGTAGAGTTATAATAGACCTAATAAAATCGCCCAGATACAACACAAACAAGGGATTTGGATTTTTGGATTTACCTTTTACAAATTTTACAAATTTACAAAAAAATTACTGGATTTTTACAAACCTTTGGATTTACCACCATTCAAGGCTTAGTAAAAAAATGGTTCATACATGATCTAATAGTCAAATGCAATGTTTGCAACATTGACAGTAATTCATTCTAGAGTCTATATCAGGACAGTGAAATCTAAATATCAAAATGTTCTTTACATAGAAGTAATAGAGTAAACAGAGTACATAGAGTGACCAAATCTGTATATTTAGCAACAATTCTGTGCAACGTGCATGCACAGAATTCTTGAATTTCAGACATGTGGAATTATTGTTAATCGCTGATAATATAGAAATTACTGTGAATTCAAACAAAAATTACTTCAACACACAAACCTCCCGTCATTAATGGTTGACAACTTAACCGAATATCTTGAGTTTGATATTATTACAAGGATTCAAACCGGATATTTCGCAACGTAATTGATAGATCTCCTTAGTCATGGTAACAAATGGTTCCCCCTATCAACAGATAACGAAATTACTTTTAATTTAATCTTCAAGAACAGTGACTAATCACAGACATTAATATCGTAGATACCACATCGTATCGCAGATACTATGTGGTATGGTGTATGTAGTATAACATACTATGTATCACATATGTTGATACCACATACTCTGATCACGAACTCTTAGGAAACACAAGACACCACCAAAGAAGTTAAAGGACAATCAAAAGGTTAAAAAATTTGTATGAAAATTTAAAATACTTTTTTTTTGCATATGCAAAATGTAAATAGAATACCTTAATATTTACTCACAGTAAAGGAAGCTCTCACGCGCACGATGGTACGAAACTAATGGAATCTTGAGTACGTCTTCATACGTCCGAAACTATACATAACGCGTCGATAGATAAGATAAAGACCTCACACCCTCACGAACCATATACACTCTTCAGATAATATGTGTAGTGATTGTTCGTTACTTGGTAAGGGTCCAGGATAGACCCACACACCGTTACTGGTCTTTCATGGTTGTGGGATTTAGTCCACCCGCATTACTCCGATTTATTTTCATTACAGAGGATATAAACCAACAGATTTTGACACAAATCCCAAGTACTCAGTTGACCAGACCACACACTAGAAGGTGAAGGGACGACGACGTTTCGGTCCGTCCTGGACCATTCTCAAGTCGATTGTGATGAGGAAGTAAAGACAGGCAATAAATAGGCAAGAGAGAGGTGAGGAGCGAAGGTGTAGTAGAGGGGATAGTAGGAAAACGAACTATTTTCCCTACTCAGTACTCAGCTTCGAGTCCTAACTCTTGGAACTCTTGTATTCATAAAGGAAAAGTACCGGTAATACCATTCTGAAATGTGAGGAAAAACGTTGAAGCAAAATATCAGAGGCTCATATATCAGCAAGTATGATGGCTTCACTACACAAGGGAGGTAATAAAGCAGACTCAAAATACAATTGACCAGCCCCAGTCAACGTGGTTTAAAAGGAGGAAGATCCTGAAATTGCTATATGGTATTGCTCAAGGAATATGCCCTCTGAGATGAGAGAGAGAGAGAGAGAGAGAGAGAGAGAGAGAGAGAGAGAGAGAGAGAGAGAGAGAGAGAGAGAGAGAGAGAGAGAGAATCACGTATACATGAGAGATACTTCAATGGCAGGTGCCATGGCAGGTGCCATATGTGCACAATATACAACTAACAAAAATTCCACAGGAGCCGTCATGAGGATTCGAACCCATGCGCCGGGTATTCCCAGACGCACACATTGTATCCGGGTATCACAGTGTGTGTACCCAACAGTGTGGTGTGTACAATGTGAACACTTGAGTGTGCGTGTGTACACTTGAGTGTGCGTGTGTACAGTGTGTGCACAAGAGTGCGTGTGTGCACGCTAGTGTGAAAGTGAAGAAACACAAAGTGAAGCGTGGCCGAACAAAGGCTTCATGCATCTCTTTGTATTTAATACACAACTTTGACCGGTTCGCACAAATCGGAAAGTATTAAGTAGATTTTAACTTTCTTTATTAAACTCCGTCAACTTCCAGTAAAGTTTTAATGCCCAAAATAATATGTTCTGAAAACGTACACTACGACCAGCAGTGGCTTGTAGTGTCCAGGTGGCTTGTAGTGTCCAGGTGGCTTGTAGTGTCCTGGTGGCTTGTAGTGTCCAGGTGGCTTGTAGTGTCCTGGTGGCTTGTAGTGTCCAGGTGGCTTGTAGTGTCCTGGTGGCTTGTAGTGTCCAGGTGGCTTGTAGTGTCCAGGTGGCTTGTAGTGTCCAGGTGGCTTGTAGTGTCCTGGTGGCTTGTAGTGTCCTGGTGGCTTGTAGTGTCCTGGTGGCTTGTAGTGACACAGGTGGCTTGTAGTGTCCTGGTGGCTTGTATAGTGTCCTGGTGGCTTGTGTCCAGGTGGCTTGTAGTGTCCTGGTGGCTTGTAGTGTCCTGGTGGCTTGTAGTGTCCTGGTGGCTTGTAGTGTCCAGGTGGCTTGTAGTGTCCAGGTGGCTTGTAGTGTCCTGGTGGCTTGTGTCCAGGTGGCTTGTAGTGTCCTGGTGGCTTGTAGTGTCCAGGTGGCTTGTAGTGTCCAGGTGGCTTGTAGTGTCCAGGTGGCTTGTAGTGTCCAGGTGGCTTGTAGTGTCCTGGTGGCTTGTAGTGTCCTGGTGGCTTGTAGTGTCCTGGTGGCTTGTGTCCAGGTGGCTTGTAGTGTCCTGGTGGCTTGTAGTGTCCTGGTGGCTTGTAGTGTCCTGGTGGCTTGTAGTGTCCAGGTGGCTTGTGTCCAGGTGGCTTGTAGTGTCCTGGTGGCTTGTAGTGTCCAGGTGGCTTGTAGTGTCCAGGTGGCTTGTAGTGTCCAGGTGGCTTGTAGTGTCCTGGTGGCTTGTGTCCAGGTGGCTTGTAGTGTCCTGGTGGCTTGTGTCCTGGTGGCTTGTAGTGTCCTGGTGGCTTGTGTCCAGGTGGCTTGTAGTGTCCAGGTGGCTTGTAGTGTCCAGGTGGCTTGTAGTGTCCTGGTGGCTTGTAGTGTCCTGGTGGCTTGTGTCCAGGTGGCTTGTAGTGTCCAGGTGGCTTGTAGTGTCCAGGTGGCTTGTAGTGTCCAGGTGGCTTGTAGTGTCCTGGTGGCTTGTAGTGTCCAGGTGGCTTGTAGTGTCCAGGTGGCTTGTAGTGTCCTGGTGGCTTGTAGTGTCCTGGTGGCTTGTGTCCAGGTGGCTTGTAGTGTCCAGGTGGCTTGTAGTGTCCTGGTGGCTTGTAGTGTCCAGGTGGCTTGTAGTGTCCAGGTGGCTTGTAGTGTCCTGGTGGCTTGTAGTGTCCTGGTGGCTTGTGTCCTGGTGGCTTGTAGTGTCCTGGTGGCTTGTAGTGTCCAGGTGGCTTGTGTCCAGGTGGCTTGTGTCCAGGTGGCTTGTGTCCAGGTGGCTTGTAGTGTCCTGGTGGCTTGTAGTGTCCTGGTGGCTTGTAGTGTCCAGGTGGCTTGTAGTGTCCAGGTGGCTTGTAGTGTCCTGGTGGTTTGTAGTGTCCTGGTGGTTTGTAGTGTCCAGGTGGCTTGTAGTGTCCTGGTGGCTTGTAGTGTCCTGGTGGCTTGTAGTATCCAGGTGGCTTGTAGTGTCCAGGTGGCTTGTAGTGTCCTGGTGGCTTGTAGTGTCCAGGTGGTTTGTAGTGTCCTGGTGGCTTGTAGTGTCCTGGTGGTTTGTAGTGTCCAGGTGGCTTGTAGTGTCCAGGTGGCTTGTAGTGTCCAGGTGGCTTGTAGTGTCCAGGTGGCTTGTGTCCTGGTGGCTTGTAGTGTCCTGGTGGCTTGTGTCCTGGTGGCTTGTAGTGTCCTGGTGGCTTGTAGTGTCCAGGTAACGCACAACTTACCATTTTTTAACGTATTCTTAAATACGTTAAATACCAAATACCAAAACGGTATTCTTTACAATGTATTAGCGTCGTCAGAGGGTTTGTGTGTGTGCGTGTGTGTGTGTGACGGTGTGTGTGTGTATGTGCGTGCGTGCGTGCGTGCGTGTGTGTGTGTGTGTGTGCGTGTGTGTGTGTGTGTGACGGTGTGTGTATGTGCGTGCGTGCGGTGTGTGTGTGTGTGTGTGTGTGTGTGTGTGTGTGTGTGTGTGTGTGTGTGTGTGTGTGTGTGTGTGTGCGGACGTGTGTGTGTGTGTCTTCAGAGATCCCATCCTTCTTCCCCAAGCTTGTAATTTGGACTTATCTCCTGCTAACCTTATTGTGAATCACAAATGCCTTTTCTTACAAGCCATTTTCCCCATAATCTTCTATAGTGCCAATGACACAGCTGCATTTTGTTACAAGTCGCTGTAGGCCAAACAAAAGCCTTTGCTACATTTATTAACTCAAATTTATTCTAACTCAGCCAATCAGAAAAAAAATCACTAACATGTGTGTTTTTTTATTCATTTTTTTAACCCAGCCAATCAGGAATCACTGACACGTATTCTTCTGTCCACAGCCAATCAGAAGCCGCTGACGTTCGATGATGTGTACAACCAATCATCGCCTACCAACTGCACGGTGTACTGCGGCGGCATTACCAATGGACTGTCTGAGGAACTTATGCAGAAAACGTTTGCGCCTTACGGACAGATTCACGAGATCCGGGTCTTCAAGGATAAGGGCTACGCCTTCGTCAGGTCGGTGATGCCCAACCACTTCCTTCGTCTTAATCAAGTTTCTTTATAGAGTTTGTGTTGTCAAGTTGAATCCCTGAATATACGATATTTAGCAGTTTTATCTCTGAATATACGATAACCAATTTTATCCCTGAATATACGATAGAATACACATAGGTCTACAGGTAGAAGTCAGCCTATCTAAGAAATATAGACTTGAGAATTCCTCGTTCAAACCAAGTATATATTATTTATCAGGAATAAATACTAAGTCATTACGGCTATACAGCACTGGGAAGGGATCAGGATAAGGATTTGGGATAGGACGGTGGATTAGGGGAAGGAATGGTGTGAATTTATGGTGCAAAAGCAGGCGATAAGTCACAATAACGTGGCTAAAGTATGTTGACCAGACCACACACTAGAAGGTGAAGGGACGACGACGTTTCGGTCCGTCCTGGACCATTCTCAAGTCGATTGTCTCGACTTGATGGAAATGATGGATTGTCTGGACCATTCTCAAGTACAATCGACTTGAGAATGGTCCAGGACGGATCGAAACGTCGTCGTCCCTTCACCTTCTAGTGTGTGGTTTGGTCATTATGGTGCAAAATTCGTTATAATCATCTTATGCGTTTTCCAAGATCTTCGTTATGAGAAATACCATCTTCTGCCTCTTTCAGTAAACTGAACTTTAATACCAACAGCAAGTGGTAGATCGATATAAGTCCCCGCACGCGCCTGGAGAATAATTTATATTTTCCGTGTCTTGGGGCAGTGATAAGAATACCAGAAGTGCAGAAGCGGGGAACCCCACACAAGGCCTCTCCAACTAAGGCCTTAGGCCTATCCAAACGCGGAATCTTGCACCCGATACGGCTGTTTACCTGGCAGTAAATAGGCACCATAGTGCTAACGACTGTGGTAGATTGTATACTTGGTAAGGCTAGAGGGGGGGGGGTGGGACTTGGCAAAGTATAATAGGCTTCCTATTCACAAAACAAAATGTAAAACATAATTCAAACTCATCCAATTTGAATTCATTGTGTCTTCAAGAATGTCCCCCATTAAATTGAAAATGGAAATTAGTTTTCTTTCTTTATAAAATTTCACATTCCCTGGATTAATTTAGTTGCCGTTCTCAGTTGGAGGTGTACACATACCTTTATTTAAACGTGTCCTTCTACAAAGAACGTCGCTTTCCGCTTGTATGCGTTACATACGGCCAAAAATCGTCGTACCATAAAATGGAAGCGGCTGGCGAAAGTGACGTACTGCCCCGTTTTCTGTTTTGGGTCCTCTGGCTTAGTTAGGTTAGGAAAGGACACTAAATTAACCGTTTTCTTGACGTTTTGACACCTTAGGAGGACGGGCTGTTTGACTCATGTTGATATTGTCTTTTTTCTACATACCGCTATCTCGAAGCTACAGAAAACCCACTGATCAAATACTAAGTTGTCCAATGTTGATCAACAGCGAACTGAAACTAACGGTTATATCCTGTTGATCCAACAGTTGATATCCTCCAGTTATCGCCATTACAATCCTGTACCCTTCCCCCCTTTCCTTCCTCTTGCGAGAGTATCCTCGACGCCCACCAGGAATGCTACAAGGCCTGCAAGCCACTAAGACCGCCTCCTCTTCCACAGGTTCTCCACGAAGGAGTCCGCCACCCACGCCATCGTCTCCGTACACAACTCTGAGATCAACGGCCAGCCAGTCAAGTGTTCGTGGGGCAAGGAGTCAGGGGACCCCAACAACACTCCCGTCACTACACAAGTCATGGTAGGTCATGTTCATGGGGTTCTGTGGTTCTGTGGAAGGTCAGGTCATTGGTAGGTCACGTTCATGGGGTTCTGTGGAAGGTCAGATCATTGGTAGGTCACGTTCATGGGGTTCTGTGGCAGGTCAGATCATTGGTAGGTCAGGTTCATGGGGTTCTGTGGCAGGTCAGGTTCATGGGGTTCTGTGGCAGGTCAGGTTCATGGGGTTCTGTGGCAGGTCAGATCATTGGTAGGTCAGGTTCATGGGGTTCTGTGGTCCTCTGGAAGGTCAGGTCATTGGTAGGTCATGTTCATGGGGTTCTGTGGTCCTCTGGCAGGTCAGATCAGGTCAGGTCAATATTCTCTTTTCTTCAAGGCGGGTTCTGATATCCTGAATACATCTTAGATCAACTCGAAAATAATCGTTGCAATATTTCCGTCAAAAATTATTATATTGTGTTAGTTTCCTGATCAGCCAACAGCTTAAACGCGTTTCCGTCACTCTAATACACTCTTAAAATTAATCACTTTATAAAAATTACAGATTTTTTAATACAAAAAAATTGAGAAACAATAATAATCATATTCAGAAAAATTAATTATAATCTCAGTAGCTTCCTTTCACACATCACAATTTGTAAAAAAATTGTAAAAAATTTGTAAAAACTTTTATAATTGAATTTCCCCACTAACAACTCTCCACTTGAAGAGTTCATTACTACCGGTGTCAACAACTTGGTGTCAACTTTCACATTACTTTTTTTACACTTTTCTTGTGATTTACATTTGAAATTTCCGTAGCAAATAGATAACAAAGCTAATGTAAATGCTGAAAATTATTCTGTGTTCCTGATAATATTTACGCTAGCGGTGGTTGCTAAGGATCTAGGCTGAGCTATTCTATAAAAAAATAGTCCTTTTTAAATTTGGTGTAATTGCTCATCAAGATCATATTGGATTCAGGGGCGTAATAGGGGTAAAAGGAATCTTCCGAGCTCTCCCATTATATAAGAAATCCCCCATTATATAAGGATTCCCCCTTATGTAAGGATTCCCTCCTTATATAAAGATTCCCCCCTATTATATAAGGATTCCCCTATTATATTAGGATTCCCCCATTATATTAGGATTCCCCCTATTATATAAGGATCTCCCTATTATATAGATTCCCCCATTGTATAAGGATTCCCCCATTACATAAATTCCACCAATTATATAAGGATTCCCCCTATTATATATGATCCCCATTATATGAGAATTAACCCTATTAAATATGGATCCCCTATTATATAAGGATTCCCACCATTATATATGGATTCTCCCCATCATATAAGGATTCCCACCATTATATAAGGATTCCCACCATTATATATGGATTCTCCCCATCATATAAGGATTCCCCACCAGATTTCTATTCTAGCATAGAGTTCCGCCCGTCTCACCCCCCCCCCCCCCCTCTAGCTAGACGGCTAGGAGAGGCCAGAGAACTGACAGAGGGACGCATGTTATATTTGATGTTACTCCTGTCATTTCTGTATACTGTCACGTAACACAGTGACTTAATATTGGTTTAGCTGTTTGATAAATAATGTACATACTTGCCTTATATATATCTATATATATCTTAGATGTTGAGATACTGTAGAATTTTTTAGCCAAGCGTGTCAAGGAAACCAATATAGGGAAGATATGACGTAATATTGCATGACAGGTTTCCCTGGCACGTCAGCGCCTTGCCCTGTTTTGGGGGGAAGCTGACACTGCCGCTGACTCTGGTGCCAGCGTCAGCCGTTGGCACTGTGGGCATCCAGACGGCGGCAGGTGTAGCACTCCGCAGGGCAAGCGCTGTGTCGTGGCATGCCATGTATTAGTGGCTCCCTTTCTCTGTGTTTCAGACCCTCACCGATGTGTCCGAATGCTTGTCTTTGCAGCCGCTGCCTGGGTCGCAGTACCCGTACAACTACGCGGGACAGATGGGCTACTGGTACCCACAGGGGTATCCGCCCCAGGTGCAGAGTCAACAGTTCCTGGGCATGCAAGGGTTCGCCTATGGACAGTATGGCTACCAACAGGGGTACGACTTGCCTCAATGTGTCTTTGTTGATGCCTGTTCCACGTGGCCTTCATATGCCTCGTCTGATACACCTTGTAACCCCCGTATCCCCACACACATACACACAGCCTATCCACACCCCTACACACCCCACACACATACACACATCCTATCCACACCCCTACACACCCCACACACATACACACATCCTATCCACACCCCTACTCCACACACATACACACATCCTATCCACACCCCTACACACCCCACACACATACACACAGCCTATCCACACCCCTACACACCCTCCCTCTGAACTACACCCACCCCTCATCCTCCATCCCAACACCACTACAATCACCCCTCACACCACCCCCTGTGTGTATCCAGCCCAAGGTTTTATATAACATGTGTAGATGTTGAGTAGTTGATATGTGTTTTACAGACTAGACCCAACACACCAACTAGCCAAGGCTCTGACGCCAGCTCTGACACTACCTAGTTACACCTCCATGTGGCTCTGCTCAGCTGCTCCCCTTGACACCTTTATAGAACTGAATACCACACTTTTGTATTCAAGACAATAACCTAAATTGTGATTTTTGATTGACCACCTGGAACCTAGTAGTGCCACCTGGCCCTTCCTGATGCCTACACAAGTGCCTCTCACTTCTTCCCCATGATATATAAACACTACACCACGTTTGAAGGTATTGTGTGTGTGTGTGTGTGTGTGTGTGTGTGTGTGTGTGTGTGTGTGTGTGTGTGTGTGTGTGTGTTATGGTCGTACTCTTGTGTTGTCCTATTCATGTCCGCGTCTTAAGTGTATCGTGTGTTTCAAGTGTATTGGCCTTGAAGTGCTTCCGGTACTTACAACGATGGTTTGTTTGGGAGTGGGTCCGGTGAGCCACTGCTCCTGGCCCCCGGCATGTATGGTAGTGATGGTTGATGGCGTGTGGTACCTGTGGTGTGGTACCTGTGGTGGATAGTGTTTATCTGTGGTACCTATTGCGTGTGTCTGGGTGTGTTTAGTATCTGTGGGTGTGGTGTTTTATGTGTGGTAGATAGTGTGTGTGAGTGTAGTGTGTCGGTGTTTGAGAGTATTGATGAATACTCGCCTTTGTATCGAATGGTTTACTGCTTCATGGCAGCTGGAGGTATGTGTGCGTGTGTGTGCGTGTGCGTGTGTGTGTGTGTGTGTGTGTGTGTGTGTGTGTGTGTGTGTGTGTACTCACCTAGTTGTACTCTAGTTGTGTTTGCGGGGGTTGAGCTCTGGCTCTTTAGTCCCGCCTCTCAACTGTGTGTGTGTGTGTGTGTGTGTGTGTGTGTGTGTGTGTGTGTGTGTGTGTGTGTGTGTGTGTGTGTGTGAGTGTGTGTGTTTACTATTTGTATCAGCAAAATCAAGCTATTATCATCTCTTGGACCCCGCCTTTCTAACCAATTTATTTTCCCGCGAATGTCTTCTACATATATTTCTCTCTAACACACCCACATACACAGTCTCCAGAAAGCAGCCCGTGGCACCTGTCTAACTCCCGGGTACCTATTTACTGATACGTAAACAGAGGCACCAGAGTAATAGAAACTCTGCCCATTTGTTTCCACCACTGCCGGGGATCGATCCCCGGTCCCTAGAATTACGAATGCCGAGCGCTGTCAACTCAGCCACCAGGCCCCAGGTGTGTGTGTGTGGAACACAGGTATGCTCATGGTCGCTCAATACTCTTGAACTACTGGAATGTAATACAAATATATAAACGTTTTCATATACACAATTGTTTAATATTATTATATAAAGTATTGATACGTTATGTATATTTGCTTAATGCCAGTGTTAGTTGTGGTTAAAAAAGTTGAAGCCGCCGCTCTTCCAACCAATCCAAGTGGATAAAACACCGGGATATCCAGGTGTTTATATATCCTGGATATTTATCCATATACACCTGGATATAACATATCCAACTCCATGAATATGTTACACATCTTGATCACACACACACACACACACACACACACACACACACACACACACACACACACACACACACACATGTGTGCCTTGGGTTGTTTTGTGACTGGTCGTGTTATTTATTTACTTTGGTTTACCAATAAAACATTTGATATTCTGCGCCGCCTGGGGTGAATTGCTTATTGGAACCTCACGAGGACCTTCCCTGAATGATGCAAACGTTGTCATGTGGACACAAACGTTGCCATGCTGATACAAACGTTGCCATACGGGGAAACGTAAGGGAAGATGACTGTTTAATAAGTGTTTTCCTCGCCTGTTTAAGACACTAGATAAAGACACCGACCTCTGTGGCTAGAAAATATGAATCATGTTGCAATAAGAGTTCTTCTTTCAAACTTTGGTTCAGTTTGAAAGTTCAATCTGCCATATTTGACGTATTTTCTTCACGGCGTGGGATTTAATTTGTCCCAATTTGGAAAATTCCAGATATCAACTTTAGTCAGCCTACAGTGTAGCTATCAAGAGAATGTTAGTCTACAGTATAGATATCAAGAGGATGTCAGCCTACAGTATAGCTATCAAGAGGATATCTGTCTACAGTATAGCTATCAAGAGGATATCTGCCTACAGTATAGCTATCAGAGCGAGTTTTGTGACCTACAGTTTTGTGACCTACCAAAGGGACGTGTGAGCGTATTGACCAATAGGCTCTCGTCTACCTGTGGGTGGAGAACCCTCGTGTTTTTTTTGTTTATAGCTGTGGACAGAATCTTGTTTCTAGTGATTTACTCTGTTACTTGTTGTCTGTAGTCCCAGTACTGTTGCCTCTACCCCTCACAGCATCTGCCAGCAACGGCGTGCCCTTGTCACCCGTTGTAAAGATGAAAGATGCAATGCAAACGTTATATTAAGCATCTCCACCTTCGAGATTTGGCTATACCACAGGTGAAAGGAGTGTCGGGCAGTAATGGCCATTGGAATGGTCTCCCCAGATTACCTGTCTTGTATAGTCTGCGGCTGTCGGCAAGGCAAGCTGTCACGAAGCTTTGAATCTTAAGTATAGTTACAGAATGAGATATAAACGTGTGATGTATTACCTATAAGCTGTCACACAAAACTTTGGAGTTTCAAACTGTTTTTGCTCACTTTCCCTCCTCAGTTTATTGAATCCCTCTACCGTGCCGTCGGTGAGAATCCCTCTACCGTGCCGTCGGTGAGAATCCCTCTACCGTGCCGTCGGTGAGAATCCCTCTACCGTGCCGTCGGTGAGAATTCCTCTACCGTGCCGTCGGTGAGAATCCCTCTACCGTGCCGTCGGTGAGAATCCCTCTACCGTGCCGTCGGTGAGAATCCCTCTACCGTGCCGTCGGTGAGAATCCCTCTACCGTGCCGTCGGTGAGAATCCCTCTACCGTGCCGTCGGTGAGAATCCCTCTACCGTGCCGTCGGTGAGAATCCCTCTACCGTGCCGTCGGTGAATGAGAATTTACAAACAAGTTTTTCTGAACCACTTTTCTTAACGTCTTAACTACTGTTGTGCGTCTTAACTACTGTTGGGTATTAAACCTACATCCTACCGTTGAATTGGGTACTTAAAGACCTCTCAAACCGCTCTGTACACCGTCCTCTCATAGGCTGCAGAGACAGACAGGAAAATTACCAATTCTTCCAAGAAGTGTATCCACTTAAGACTGGTAGCTACAGCAGCGACCTCGCTTCTTGCAGGTCTGCGTTCGATTACCGACGATCCAATTGGCAATCGAACGCCCCTATCCCATCCCCTGCCAAGTGATATATAGGCACACTCGTCTTGTTCTTTCTCTTGACAATTCTGAAAACAACCATTCCACCCCCCCCCCCTTCCCTCCTCCCCGAAGTATACCCTCAATGGTGTGTATATCAATATGACGTATATTATATTCCCTGGTATACTTTTGAAGCAAGGAGTAGTTAGCTGCGAGTGGTTGACGAGTCTGCAGGTGTTTTAATTGTAAGATAAATGAAAGATAAATGAGTGTCGGTAAATATATTGATTGACAGCTGTGTCAGCATAGAGTGACAGCTGTGTCAGCATAGAGTGACAGCTGTGGCAGCATAGAGTGACAGCTGTGGCAGCATAGAGTGACAGCTGTGTCAGCATAGAGTGACAGCTGTGGCAGCATAGAGTGACAGCTGTGTCAGCATAGAGTGACAGCTGTGGCAGCATAGTGACAGCTGTGTCAGCATAGAGTGACAGCTGTGGCAGCATAGAGTGACAGCTGTGTCAGCATAGAGTGACAGCTGTGTCAGCATAGAGTGACAGCTGTGTCAGCATAGAGTGACAGCTGTGGCAGCATAGAGTGACAGCTGTGTCAGCATAGTGACAGCTGTGTCAGCATAGAGTGACAGCTGTGGCAGCATAGAGTGACAGCTGTGTCAGCATAGAGTGACAGCTGTGTCAGCATAGAGTGACAGCTGTGTCAGCATAGAGTGACAGCTGTGTCAGCATAGAGTGACAGCTGTGACAGCATAGAGTGACAGCTGTGTCAGCATAGAGTGACAGCTGTGTCAGCATAGAGTGACAGCTGTGGCAGCATAGAGTGACAGCTGTGTCAGCATAGAGTGACAGCTGTGTCAGCATAGAGTGACAGCTGTCAGCATAGAGTGACAGCTGTGTCAGCATAGAGTGACAGCTGTGTCAGCATAGAGTGACAGCTGTGTCAGCATAGAGTGACAGCTGTGTCAGCATAGTGACAGCTGTGTCAGCATAGAGTGACAGCTGTGGCAGCATAGAGTGACAGCTGTGGCAGCATAGAGTGACAGCTGTGTCAGCATAGTGACAGCTGTGTCAGCATAGAGTGACAGCTGTGGCAGCATAGAGTGACAGCTGTGTCAGCATAGAGTGACAGCTGTGTCAGCATAGAGTGACAGCTGTGGCAGCATAGAGTGACAGCTGTGGCAGCATAGAGTGACAGCTGTGGCAGCATAGAGTGACAGCTGTGTCAGCATAGAGTGACAGCTGTGTCAGCATAGAGTGACAGCTGTGCCAGCATAGAGTGACAGCTGTGTCA